AATATGGTTAGGGAGTTGATTGATCAGAGCATTGACCGTAGATTGGGCCGCTTCATCCATCTTCTTGCTTTTTGAGCGGGACGAGCTGGATTTACTCCCCCTAACAACACCAGCCTCGCCTGTAGGAGCGAACTTCTTCTTGGCCAACTCCTTGGCCGCCAGCCTGCACGGCGACCTTTTTGCCCTAGCCACCCTATTGCTCGGCCACCTTTTATTTGCCCGAGCCCCTTAGAGGCTCGGTTACTTTCTTCTTACCCGAGCTATCGTGCTGCTCTGGTGCCTTCAATTTCCCCAAGCTTCCAGTAAGCTCGAGAGTTTTCTTTTCCAGCCCTTTCTAGGGCTCGTAAACACTCTTTCTGCCCGCTGCCTTTGGAGCAGTCGTAGGCTTTTCTATGCTTGGACCCTCCCCAAGCTCACCGCCGATGTGTTTCATGCCAACAACTTCAGCGGGCCGCTTTGTCGCCAAAGTAGCCAATGTCTTCTTGGTAGCCGCCAGAGCTGTCGTCTTCTTCTTAAGGCCTTTGGGTTTCTTGACCCACAAACAGTAAGCAACTTATCTGCACAAGAAAAAGTGCAAACAAACAATAACTTAACCTTTTTCCAAGATCGTAGGAAATCTTGCGTCGCCCCGACAGAAGCCGTATGCTCACAGGTGGGGGAGTGTAACGATCTCATTAATGTTACGCTGTCCGTCGGGAAGGTCGTTGAAATGCCGAAGCCTCTACAAGCTCGCGGCAGGGAGATAGTTCTGTTCGACGTTAACTTCAAAATAAAGCAACTCAGTTAGCTAGAACACAAAGCTCAAAAGCGATCCTCGCACAGACGGTAAGTCAAAATCTTACTTGCTTCCGAGGCGAAGGCATTAGTCTTCCGGGCTTTTTAGAAGAAAAATTATGAGTCCCAGTGCGAGACCTTCTTCGGGACATCGACCAACCCATTGAAATGTATCTTCTTCACCTTGGAAAGGTAGTATGTCTTGTCTTGCCTTTTTTTGAGCCTATACAGATGGACAAGCTCCTCGACGGATGGCTCGCCCAACTCAACAATCATGTACGTAATGTACAGAGCGATAATAATTATGTAGGAATTTGCGGAGAGCTAGAGGGGAATGATGTTGAATCGATTTAGGACGTTGTCAATAAAATGATGACGGGGAATAGATACCCCTGCATCTCAACAGAGTCTTAGAGGTCGCTACCCATCTAGGCGGGGAGATTCTTTCAAGAAATGTCTCCCGGGGCCATCAAATTAAGTTGTGACGCATATACCACTCTTATGCATTCTACATCCCCGACGGTAATCGAGGATTATGGCTCTCTTCACAGCCTATGGGCTGGAGACCGTGCGGGTTGAGCCAATTGTAACAAGGCACGGTCGAAAGAGCCCGCCAAGTCAGGGTTTGAGCTTCGTGCGATGATTTTCTCGGAAACCTCCGGAGTTGAATGCCCAAGGACTGCAGAGCCTGCGGGCGAATCGAACATGCGGTCGATTGTGTGACTGCTGGAAGAAGACATGGTTATAGCTTGCTTCTAGTTGCCTAATACAGAAGCAAACATGTGTTAGAGCTCGAAAAATTCGGCAACCATTTCACACTTGCTTTCAGTTCAAGCACCCAAGATAGCTTGCGCCACACAATGAACGCTCGCGACCTACCCCAGGTTCTGGTGGCCACCATGTTAAACTCTTCTTAAACCCAAGCCTGCTGAAGACATATTCAAAAACCCTACTAAAGCCCTAGAACATCCAATGTGGCCATGACAGTAGCCACCCTTTAACACAAAAACTAGAAAAATAGTAAAGAAAGGGAAAAAAACCTTACTGGGATGAAAGAAGTTCAGAAACTCGCTAGAAGGAGCACTGTGACGATGACGAAACAACAGCAAACTGGACAAAGACGTCAGAGAATTTTCATGGATTGAATGAGCATTCTAACGACTTCGCCACCTTTTATAGTGGTTTGCATGGAAGACGAAAGGGCGGGGTTTAATCGTAGCCATCGATCTATAGTGAATCTCAACCCTTCGTTCGTCGAGCAATCTCGGGCTATTTCAAGGATGGAAGAAGAAAGGGCGGGGGCATATGTTGTGTGTGATTTTTCCACCAAGCTCGGGCTATCGCGAGGATGTAGCTTGACTTAGGATAAGTCCGACTCCACCGGTTGTCTGACCTAGCATAAGCTTGTCAACACAGAGCTTGACCCAACCTAAGCTAGTCGCGAACAACCTGAATGATCATTCAATCAATTCCCAGATAACTTCAGATCCCAGATATTGCGGGAATGACTAAATCAACATCAATCTCTACGCAATCACAGCGCCCAATTACAAGAATATCGGAATTGTAGTTCAGATCAATTGTAATCACTTTATTTTCGCTATTTCCTTTGTACAAACCTTGTATATAAACCCCTCAAATTAGGAAAAAGGGGTTACGAGTTTCACATAGAATTCTCATTGTAAGCTCTCACAGCAAATATCAAAAACAATGGACATAGGCTCAAGAGTTTACCTTGCCAAACCACTTTAAAAATTCTCACTGTCATTTATTTTACTGCACTCAATATTTGTCTATCGCTGATTACCCATAATCACGCGCACATCCATTCTGATCCCATCAAGGTCAATCAGAATTCTCTAGTTGGTGCAGATTTATGTATTAACAACAAGAATCAACCATTTTTTATTGTTTTTCAGCCTTTTTTGACCAGTTTATGCTTGTATTTGGCCGATTTTTCGCGTTTTATGTCATCCAACTCCATTCGCGATCTTCATCGATTCCAGCCCGATCTGGCTGGAATTTGATCCTATTGGACCTCGCCATCACCACCATCATCACTTCTACTTACTCCTCTTCAAAACCGCTTTGCTCCCCATCGTTTTGCTTCCACCTATTGTCAGCTCCAACCGTTCTAGGGTTTTGTTGTTCTTCATTGGATTTTGGCCGATTTCGACAACAAAAATCCAATTGACCACCACCGTTGCAACCATCGGTCTTCCACAGATCAAAACCCCTCTATACCTGCAGCCAGAGCACTTACTGTTTGCCGATCGAGTTCTCTCTTTACGATTTTGGGTGTTTGTGTTTTTGGAGGTTGCTTGATCTTTGGTTGGAAATTGAGTGTTGGGATTATGTTTGGAGTTTGATTGAGTGTTATTTGTTGATTTTATGGGTTTTGGTTGAATTGGAGATTGGAAATTTTTTTTTAGCTTCTAGCACACCACCCGTTTGATGAAATTCCCAAGCAAGCTACTGAGTAGTTCTCTATTAAATAAGGGGCATTTTTGTCCAAATAATTAGTTATTGAGGTTAAAGAAGTCATTCAACAAGTTTGGTTAATTATTTTTTTTCAGCTTCTGGCACACCACCCGTTCGACAAAATTCCCAAGCGAGCTACTGAGTAGTTCTCTGTTAAATGAGGGGCATTTTTGTCCAAATAATTAGTTAATGAGGTTATAGAAGTCATTCAACAAGTTGGGTTAATTGTTATTTGACATTAATGAAGGGCACTTGTGCAGGGATATTAAGGGTAAAATTGGAACAAAAATAGGATTACTTAATAATCTTAAAATACCATCTCGAGTAATCACATAACCTCCTATATCACCTCTTAGATTACCAAAGGAAGAAAAGATTATCTTAATCTTTTATTATCATTTGAACCAAACAAGTTAATGACTGGATTAAAAGATAGATTACCGTAATCCTCTTTCACCCCTAACCAAACGTAGCTTGTCTGTCTAGTATTATTCTCTAAGAATAACAAGATATTTATAAGTTCCCAAACCTAGTTAGAATCAGTCTGCTCGTTGCATTAGTTTCTCCAAATCTCCTTCTATGCTTAACTTCTTAAGTATCGTGATGTGGAGTGTAAATTTGTAAAACTGGAATTTGTTACTAAATAACTCTTCCATGTTTCCTAATCAATCAATCTTCATTTGTAATTTTAATAAATATAAAGAGGGATCTTTTATTCCTTTTCATAGAATTCTAGCCCGTTTAAAAAATGCCATTGCCACCGCTTTCAAATCTTCACGCCCCTCCTTCTTCGATCCGCAATAGCGGACCTATCCAAGGGCATCGGGTGGCCATGGACATCCCAGGACCCAGGTCCCACTCAATTTTTTAAGCTTTATGCATAGAAAAATACTATGCTTACTCACCACTTGTACTAACTGCTATACAACCTTTGTTAAAATTTTACATGGTACCCGTACTATGCATATAGTACCAGTACTATGCGTTATATTTACAAAGGATAGTAAGATGGTTAGTAAGATGGTGAGTAAGTATAGTATGGTTCTGCATAAACAAATAATTTTCATCGCTTAAATCGTATTATTTAAAAAAAATAAAATAAAAAACTGAATAAGGGGTTGTTATTTTTTCTTTAAACAAACTCAAAGACTTTTTCAAAACGTATTTTTTTTACAACTTGCAAGTATCTTGGAGCATTGATCATACAAGAGGAGAGGACCTAAAATTCCTCCATATTTTACACGTTCATTCAAAATCATGTGCTTCATTGCCTACCTCAAAGCCAAGATACTTCTCCTACAATTAATAAATTTTTTTTCATTAAAATAAGAAAAAAAAATTAAAATTTGATCCTAAATAATTTTTTTTTTCAGAAAAGGGTAAATTAAATTAAAAAAAAAAAAAATTCAAACCCATACGTTAAATAAAATAGAACTGTGGGACTTGATAAATGGAAATTGTGTTTGTTTGCAATCATATTTCATCGGCTGAGATTTTAGACATTAGTTAATTAATATCAAATAAGATTCTTGATCTCGACACGAACTCGCATGAACTCTGCAGAAGCTGCCAACTGTCAGTGTGTGTGTGTGTGTGTCTGTGTCATCTCCCATCCGTGAATGCTGCTTTCAGTTGCTTACAATCAACTATACACAACCACAAGCTTTCTTTTTTAACCAAATATCTTTCTTCTTGAATCATTTTTCCTTCCCTTTTTACTCAAAATATCTCTACTTGTTCTCTCTCTCTTTGTTTGTTTCTTTGAATCCAAACAAAAATTCATTCCCATTAGCATATTCTCCTCTCCTTTAATTTTAGACCCACCATTGCTTTGAGGATACCTTGAAGCATTTATTGCGCTTTGTTCTAGTAAAGGTTACTTACTACACTGCTCTTTCATCTATACCTCTGTTCGGTTTCTTATTGTTATTTAAAATTTTTTTTTTTTCAGGTTAGTTGTTCTTCATATTGATATGGGCTATGTTTATTTTTCTCTAAAAATAGTAATTTTTCCTGAATTTTATAAATTAATGGGCTTTAATCATCTGAGTTTGTTAGTTTTACTCTTTTGAAGTTCATTTTTGTAAGAGTTTCGTCAAGGCATTGTTAGTTTCTAGTTTTAAATCTGTAACCAATCCTGTGGTTATATTTTCTTATCAACTAGATGAGATTCCAAATGTCAATATGTACATTCTTATATTTATTTTTAATATTATATAGTTTTTATAGTTCTATCCAGTTTCTGTAAATACTAACAACTGAAACCTTGGGTTCTGTTAGATTTTGAGAAACCTGATCTGGGTCTGCTTCATTTTTGGAAGAAATGGTGAATTTGGGATTGCTTTCTGGAACCAAATCTGTGAAATCACCGAGGGTAAACTTTAGGATACCGTATTATACTCACTGGGGTCAGAGCCTGATTGTTTGCGGCTCTGAGCCTGTGCTTGGTTCATGGAATGTGAAGAAGGGCTTTTTACTGAGGCCTGTTCATGAAGGTGATCAGCTCATATGGTGTGGAAATATTGCAGTTCCAAGCGGGTTTTCTTGTGAGTACAGTTATTATGTTGTGGATGATGAGAGAAATGTACTGAGATGGGAGATGGGAAAGAAACGTAAACTGTTGTTGCCCGAGGGTATTAAGGATGGGGAAGTAGTTCAGCTTCATGATCTTTGGCAGGTGCTGTTCTTGTTTAATTTCTTACATCTCTATCCTTCATGTGTGACTTTGAAGGGCTGTTTGTGTTTTTGTAGTTGCAGGTGTATTCACTTTTTCAAAAACTAGGGTGATGGATATTCCTTGATATTATGCTTCAATTGAACTTATGCTTGATTTTTGATTTGGGAATTGGGATTTGTTAATTCTCTGACAACTTTTCCAAGGCCAATCATAGGGAATCTTTGCTGTAAATGGTTCTGTTTATTTATTTATTTGTTCTTTTTTTGTTGCTGAATATAAGAAAATAAAGTAATAGAGGAACTTTGAATGTTAAAGCATTCCATATAGGGAAGGTGAACGGATTTCTGGGTATCCAAAGGGGAAAAGAATGCATTCTAATTCAAAAGTTGTAGATTCCCTAATATTTTTTTTTATCTTCCCTCTTCCTTTTTCTTTTCAGTTTTCTTAGCCCCGACTGAAGCATTTTGTAGACTTGATGACTTAATGGATGTCTTATTTGTCTTCATTCTATATTTTCTGTAATATTTTCCTTTTGAAATTTTAGAATTCACATTTTCTCTTTTATTATTCGTTCTAAGTTGGTGTCTCTTTATTCTTATTGATGTTATGAACTAAATTTTGGTTTCATAATCCTATGCTGTTAGATTAATATTAAACACTGGATATGAGTATGATTACCACTGTAACACTGTATAATCAGAATCTTTTGAATTGTGTCTTGTTTTTTTGCGTTAGTACCTGTCAGCAACTAAATGGAGTATTCCACTCTTATTTTGTAGTGATTTGGAGCTTTTTCCAAGTAATTTTTTGTAGCAGTTTGTTTTTTCAACCGTTAGAGTCCCCTCTGAAAATCTGTGTCATTAGGAAGTCGATGTTGACAAATGTTTCTGTCTTTTATATTCTTGACTGTTTGATGTTGGTTGATTGGAGGTGGCTAAAACTCACTCATGCTGAGTGTTTTTGGTTTTGACATCTATTTCGCTTAATAGTTCTGTTTTTGATAAATCCAGACTGGTGGTGATGCTCTCCCTTTCAGAAGTGCCTTCAAAAATGTCATCTTTCGCCAAAGCTTGAGTTTGAACATTGAGAGACCTGAAGGGCTCATACATGATAAGTTAGATGGGGAAGGTAATTATAAATAGATTGAATTTTTTTGACAATCCTTTTTATCTAATTTTCTAGTTTGGAACTGGAATATTAGCATTGTGACATGTTATTAATGATTTCTTTCAAATGTAAAACAGATTCGATCCTTGTGCATTTCAAAATTTGCTGTCCTAATGTAGAAGAAGACACTTCAGTAATTTCTTTTCTCCAGAAATCAGTTTTCATAATTATCTAATATTAACTGTTTCTTCTAAATTTTGGCTAATAATCTCAGCTGTTTGAAATTGCTGCTTTGCTTATATTTATAAAGTCTGACTAATGCAGGTATATGTGATTGGTAGCACTTCAAAGTTAGGGCAGTGGAAGATTGAGGGTGGACTCAAACTTAGTTATGCTGGTGAATCAATCTGGGAAACAGATTGTGTAATGCAAAGGGGTGACCTTCCCTTTAAATATCCTTTTGGGATTCTTCATCTCTAATAATTTGAAATTTAGATTTATATTGCCTTCTGTTCTGCAATTTGGTTGGACATTGTTATGTTCTCTGTTTCTTCTCCTTAACGCTCATTGCACATATAAGTATTGTAAATATGGAAAAACAGGAAGCATTTCTTTGGAAACTGGTCCCCACCGGGAACTGTCCGTTGACTCCTCTAACAATCAGCCAAGATACATCTTCCTTTCAGATGGCATGATGCGGGTAACTATTGAGTAAATCTTATATTTTTTTTTATATATTTTTATTTTATTATTTATATATTTTTATTATTTTTTATATTTTTTTATTTATTATTCCTTATTTTATTTTTTATTTTATTTCTTTATTTATTTATTATTATTTACCATTTTTTTTTTTTTATATTTTTTTTTATTTTTTTCTTTATTATTTTTATTTATTTATTTTTTATATTTTTTATTTTATCATTGTTTTATTTGTTTTATTTTATTTATTTATATATTGCATTTGAACCTGACTGATATATATATATATTCAATATATATTATTATATATATATATTATAATATAATTATATATAATGGGCTATTATATTTTTCTCAATTAAACCTTTGTTTTTTGTTAGGAAATGCCTTGGAGGGGTGCCGGTGTTGCAGTCCCCGTGTTCTCTATTAGGTCAGAAGCCGATCTTGGTGTTGGAGAGTTTCTTGACCTGAAATTACTTGTTGATTGGTCGGTGGCGTCTGGGTTCCATTTAGTTCAACTTCTACCAATCAATGATACATCTGTGCATAAGATGTGGTGGGATTCATATCCCTACAGGTATCACAAGAACTTCAATCTCAAATTGCATAAATCAAATTTGAACTTTTCCATTCATTACATCTCAGGCATGTTTACCACTCACTTTACATTGTCAAATGCGTCTTTTGGCTGGCATATTTGTGCATTCCTTGGCATTGCTTCTTATATTTAGTTCCATAATCTAATTTGGCGGAAGTAGCCTATTGCCTTTTTCTGCATCTAGGATACAGTTGCTTCTTTTGACTTCCGTTTTCCAATCACATTTTTACATCACCTAATATATTCCCTTAGTTAATGTTAATCAGTTTTCGCAGCATTCTTGAAGATTCAGTTTGTTTTCATTAATATACAAATGTTGATGGTTCTGACTTGTTCTTTGTCATTCCAGCTCACTTTCTGTATTTGCGTTGCATCCTTTGTACCTGAGAGTAGAAGCACTTTCTCAAAACATGCCAGAGGATCTCAAGGTAGTCTTCATAACTTCAATTTTTTTTTTTCCCAAATAAATGATAATAGTCCTCCTGTAATTTGTGCTGCTAATCTCAATTGTTTGTAGTAGCACCCTCTCTCTCTCTTTCTTTTCCTTTTTAATTTTTTTTTTATTTTTAATCTTGACCACCACATTATTATTATTTTCTCGCAGAAAGAAATTGAGAAAGCAAAAGTGCAGCTAGATTTAAAGGTTAGCCCTCTGAAATATTTTTTTTCGAATCATGATGAAAGACATTATGTCATTCATATTTTTATGGTTTCAATGCATGTTATGATCCATATTTGGATTGGAAAGAATAGAAGAGAAAAGGAATTATTTTTGACATAGTGAGCCAGCTCTATGGGACATGGCTGACATCCTTTATATGGATTAATTGCTTATGTTTTGTGTAAGACATGAAATTTGTGGGTGATATGGCCTCTTTCTCAAAATTTGCTTTCATACCATGTATAATAATCATTAGTACTAAAGTTTAAGTTGATTGGTAAAATTGCAGCAACAATATTTGATCTCTAACCCTGATTGTGTCTGTCTCATTTGTTTCTTATTTGATGGAAAATATCATGGATAAAGAAGTGGAATTTCATTTTGGAAATGGATAGGGGCCCAAAGTCTTTACTTAAGCTTACTGATGGAAAGTCATCTATTTCTTTATTTTATCATATTCTGTTATTATACATCTTGAGCGATTTGATGTCTACTCATAATTTATTCCTGTGTTCTTTACATCAAGATGGGTATCTTTTGCATGACATTGTATAAATATATGGTTGTGCGAATTACATATTAAGTTCAGAAATGTGGAATGCTAATTTAATTTTAGGATGTTTATAAACAAGCTCTTATTAGGTTACAACTTTTCCACTCTTATCTGAATTGTAGGCATCCACATACCAGCTGAAATTTCTCCCTCCCGCACCTCGTCATGATAACTCTTGCCAGTATCAGCTTGACCATTTATTATATAGTTATTATACTTAGATCTTTAAACAAAATTTCAAATCATTTTATGTTGCCGGTGTCCCTTTCGCTACAAAATATTAGCATAAGACACTAACATTAATAGGACTAATCCAAATTCCAAACTTAAATATTTATTCATGGGGTTTTAAATTTAAAATAAATACATGTACACGACAGATTCTCTAAAAGGTTTTGAATTGAAAGCTGCAATTCATACTTCAATTTAGGTTTAGCATGAAAAACCATCAACAAAACCCATGTAAGAGATATAATCCACTTAATTTCCAATGTTTGTCTTTCTTGTAAATAATTTAAAGGTACAAGTGTACAATGGCTAATGGTGTTATAATTGTTTGCATCCATCCATTTATAGTTGGCATTTTTCTTAACTAATTTGATTTTGGATACGTACAGGATGTTGATTATGAGGCTACTCTGGCTACTAAACTTTCAATTGCCAAGAAAATTTTTGACCGAGAGAAGGATTTAATACTTAAATCCGATTCCTTTCAGAATTTTTACTCCGAGAATGAGGTCTTATAGAGTTTGACCTTATTTTTGATTCAGTTAAAAGAGTCAATTCTCTTATTTTTGAAATTTAAATTTGTATAATCCTTGGAAAACCAATTTACTCTAATGTTTCATTTCATTTGTAAAAGGATTGGCTAAAACCCTATGCGGCTTTCTGTTTCTTACGGGACTTTTTTGAAACATCAGACCACAGTCAATGGGGTCGCTTTTCTCATTATTCGAATGACAAGGTGATTAGCTATTTCATCTTATTGAGTGTTGTGTTAAATCATAGTTGTAATAATTGAGTGAAAAATAGGTTAAACCTTATCAAGAATTTTGGTTGTGCAATGATAAATCTCCATTTCTTGCAGCTTGAAAAACTTGTCTTGAAAGACAGCTTTCACTACGACATAATATGCTTCAACTATTATGTCCAGTACCATTTACATTTACAGGTAAATGCTACTGATCTATGGCCTATAATTTATGCATAATCTGCACTAAATATTGAGCAAACTATTGTGTTTTTTCTTTGGTAACATTTTGCTATTACAGCTATCAGAAGCTGCAGAATATTCAAGAAAGAAAGGAGTTATTTTGAAGGGAGACCTACCTATTGGTGTTGACAGAAATAGTGTGGACACCTGGGTCTATCCAAATTTGTTCCGTATGAACACTTCTACCGGAGCCCCTCCTGATTATTTTGATAAAAATGGCCAGAACTGGGGATTTCCTACTTATAACTGGGAGGAAATGTCAAAAGACAACTATGGTTGGTGGCGTGCTCGATTATCACAGGTTTTCCTCTCCTATTTGTTTCCTGTCTTTGTTCAAATGTAGCATCCTTTTGGCTGATTTCTATATCTACAACTTTTCTTTCTGGTTTTTGATTCTTCTTGTTTCTTTTCTGCTTGTGTCACAGATGGCAAAGTACTTTACAGCTTACAGGATTGATCATATATTGGGTTTCTTTAGAATCTGGGAGCTTCCAGAGCATGCTATGACAGGTCTACTTGGAAAATTTCGGCCATCTATCCCTCTGAGTCAGGTGGGGCTCACACCCATATAATTCATAAAATACAATATCTGTATAATAAATAAGGGATAGACCAGTATAGCATCTATGCAAAATAATTTCATCTTATTTTAATTTATTAATAATATGGAAAAACATGCTTCTGTTGTAGGAAGAACTAGAACGAGAGGGAATATGGGACTTTGATCGCTTGACCCGTCCGTATGTTAAACAGGAGTTATTGCAGGTTACTGAATTTTCCTTGTTGGCTATAATCTAGTTCTTCTAAAGTCCTGTTGGTATTTAACTTGTGATTTTAGTTTCCTTCTAGTGAAATATCTGTTCTTTTGTGTTACTATATCATGGATTTTATTTTTTATTTATATTTCATGTTTCAGGAAAAATTTGGATCTTCTTGGACTTATATTGCTGCAAATTTTCTACAAGAGTTTCAGAAGGGCCGTTATGAGGTGATAATAATGACAGTTTGGTGGATGAAGTCTGATTGTTAGTCTTTTCTACCTCATGATTCTTCTGAAGGAATTATAAAATATCATGATCTTTTGCAAGCCATATGAATTTACTGATGAAATTGAGAAAATTTAATTAAATGAGTCAACTTCAATGTAATCCCAAATTTTTTATCTTAATTTTTTTTTTTTGAAATTTCTTCAAAAACTGGCGTATACTGAGGAAATAAGGGTTTCTTAATATACATATATATTTTTTAATAAATTTGACTGGATGAATAATGCATCTAGTTATGAAATTTAATATTTTCCTGCAAACATTTAGGTAGTAAATGGGCTGACTAGGCTTCAAAATTAGAATGGTGAATATGATGTAAATTAAAATTTAAATGTCAATATTGCAGAGCACGAAGTGTGAACTCTCTATGTCTCAATTCAGGTTGAGTGCATTTATTATTTTTCTGGTTTTTAGATGGCAATATTTTGTCTTAACCAAATTACGTTTAGATGGCTTTTCTCATCTTTTCTGCCATAGGTGTTTAGTTGATGTTCTCCCGGTGAATTAGTTCTTTAATTCTCCACCCCTCTTGTTCTTTAATTCTCCACCCCTCTTTTTAAGGAAAGACAGATTTATTGCCACTCAGTGTCGACACAGATTCATTTAAGGAATGTATTTCCTGATGCTGAAGCTTTGGTTTCTGCTATTTATAACTAGCCTCTTTCGGTGATGGTGTGCTTTGATAATGCAAGGTCTCCAACTTCTGCTTCCATCAAATACCATTGTTATCGAATACGTTCTAGTCTGTGACATCTCTTGTTCTCTCAGCCTTTAGCTATGGTTTCCTCTAGAGTCACTCTAGAAATGGAGTTTTGATGTAGACAATTCACCCTGAGTAACTTGTTTTAGATTTTGAATCTAAACAGCACAACTTTCTCCCTCTCTCTCTCCCTCTTAAATAACAAATCTTTTAGTTTATAAAATTTTGATATTCGTTTCATTTCAGAGAAGAGAGTTCTGGATCTATTCTAAAGTCTATTTGCATTTGCATCAACTGTATGCATGTCACTGTTAGTTTTGTATTTTTCTGTGTCTATTCAAGCGCCCAAACTGAAACATGTTTATCATTCCTTATACCATATCCTAGTTCACTGAGGAGTGCAACACGGAGAAAAAAATTGCTGCCAAGTTGAAGTCATGTGCAGAGAAATCTATATTGTTGGAGAGCGAAGATAAGATACGTCGTGATCTCTTTGATCTTCTAAAGGTAGCATGTTTGATCTGAGTGGTTTGTAAATTTTAGATTTCAAACTAATTATCTACAAATTGTTCAATATAAGTTTCTTTTTTCTTCCAGAAATCTATAAACAAGTGTTTGATGATGTTGCCAGTACTTGCCCTAGATTTTCATATATTCTATTGCTCTTGCAGAATATAGTTCTTATCAGAGATCCGGAGGATGCAAGGAAATTCTATCCTCGATTCAATCTAGAGGACACTTCAAGTTTTTCAGATTTGGATGATCGCAGGTACATTTTGTCATGTCAATTTTGGACTAATCGGCTTGAATTGTCATGTGATCTTGAAGCAGGCTGAGATATTAATGATATGAATTAAAATTTTTGTTGTATTTCATGATTGTAAATCATGTTGGTGTTCTCTTCACAGCGATAAAATGGTTGCCCTTTGGCGTTTTCCTTAATGAATCTCTTGATTTACTGCTGACTGAGTGCTGCTTATTTCTTGTCCTTGTGATGCAGCAAAAATGTTCTGAAAAGATTGTACTATGACTACTATTTTCATCGGCAAGAAAATCTTTGGCGACAGAATGCCTTGAAGACATTACCTGCCCTCCTGAACTCATCAGATATGATGGCCTGTGGGGAAGATCTGGGACTTATTCCTTCCTGTGTTCATCCTGTAAATGCATTCAACCTTCACATATCTCTCCCTCCACTCCCTGGCTTACCTGCCTCTGGTTTGCTTTTCTTTTACATTTAAAGAAATTTTTTCTGCAGAATTACAACGTGACATGATGGTTTTATTCAGGTTATGCAAGAATTGGGGTTAATAGGTTTACGCATTCAACGGATGCCCAGTGAACCTGGACTAGAGTTTGGTATTCCTTCTCAATATAACTACATGACAGTAAGATCATATACCATTTTGCTTCAAATATAAACTATTCATATCTCTTAGAGCATATATATTCTATCGGGAATTAAGTTATTCCATTGTGCTCTCTAATATTATTACGATGGTTTTATGTGGAATGTCAACTAACAGCATATAAAATCATTGACACCTAACTGGAGAAAGAGAACATTAAAGATTTATTATATAATAGATAATATAGTGTTTGACAGTGAATGCAGTGAACTAAGATGCTTTACTTTTGAACTTCTTATAAGAACTCAGACATAAATTTATTTTTTCTAAATGCTGTAGTAACAGAAGACTTGTGCATTAAATATCAGTAACATTGAGAAGTGGAAACATGGGTAGGAACATACCTATCTAGTAACTCTTTTATTTTGTATTTTGTTTTTTACTATAAAGCATGAAATCACAGGCTTTGGATAGTGCATTTTGGTCATATGGTCTAAAGCACCTCAACTTATATTTAGGAGATCCTTGTCTTTGTGTAACAATGATTCTGAAATCGGTGTCTGTCTCAATGTAATTCAGGTGTGTGCTCCATCTTGCCATGATTGCTCTACCCTTCGTGCCTGGTGGGAAGAAGACGAGGAAAGAAGACATCGATTTTTCAAGAATGTAGTTGGTTCTGACGCATTACCACCTAGTAATTGTGTACCAGAAGTCACACATTTCATCATAAGGCAACATGTTGAATCTCCATCAATGTGGGCAATTTTCCCTCTTCAGGTACTTTTATGAAACTACCTGGCTTAGTGTCCAAACAGAGGCCCTTTCGGGAACTTTAGCTTAGTGTCAAAGTTAGAGTGCACTTTAGCTGTGAAATAGCAATTTCATGTCAAGGGATTATGCTTGCCTATTCAACCGCTTTGAATTGCACACAAACAATGTGCTTTTGTTTGATAATCAGGATTTGTTAGCATTGAAAGAAGAGTACACATCACGCCCTGCAGAAGAGGAGACAATCAATGACCCAACAAATCCAAAACACTATTGGAGATTCCGTAAGTTCATATATATATATATATATATTTGTTTATTTAGGAATTTAAGTATATGATCAAGTAGGCCTTTTGGTTTGCACTGTTTGAGGCCAAGTTGGTCTCCCTTTTTGGAAGATCTTGAATTTAATTTTTTGCCTTTGTACTCAGGTGTACATGTCACACTGGAGTCATTGCTGAAGGATAAAGAACTGAAAATGACCATTAAAGATCTTGTCCGTGGTAGTGGAAGATCACACCCTCGAGTGGATCAAGCAACAGCAGCCATTACTTCGGATAAGCAACAGATTGCCAAGGTCCAGGAAAAGAACCCAACAGTAAAGCCTCTAAATGGAGTTCCGCGGAAGGAGACTGTAGCTGTCTTGTAAGTTTGGTAATGTTGTGTAGATGAATTATATTCTGCCGGAGCGAACCTGAAAGAATAATGAAGAACCTGGTAGATAGAGGTAACTATGTCGCGCACTTTACATGATAGTGTTGTCAGATTAGCAGCTCCATCCGATAATGTAATATTTTGTTGGTAAGATATTTGATGATGGGCGTGGCATAATGCTGATGCTAATAAAACTTGGTATCGCTAAGTTCATCCTTTCTGCTTGTATATTGAAACAAACATAATAAATAGTGATACAAGTGCTCTGTTATTACAACATCCCTGCATCATCTGCAGTCTTTCCATTAATAATTTTATTGCATAAAAGTTTTGAGGATACTGAAGAGGTTCCCATCTGCATATTGGCTGGTGTTGTAATATAACTTCTCTTGAAATTGGCCAATTGGAATTTGCCTAAACCTTGTGTATTCCATATTTGTTAGTGGGCAAGACTTGTCGAGGTTGAAGTAGTATCAATCTGCTTTGTGATTATGCCACTATTTTGGTAATGTTAAAGTTGGACTCCATTGCTGAAACTTAATGGCGGGTTTTGCTGAAGGCAAGTTAATTTGGGCGCCACTATTTATCTTTTCAGCCCACTTCATCCATTTAGGTTATGATAAGATTATTATTAAAAAAATAAAAAATAAAAATTACTAACACTATTTTTATTCATATTCAAAATTTCCAGGAATAATTTTTTAGATGTTGTTCTTTATATTACTCAAGATCTCGAATTTGTTGTTCTCTAGTTTCTTAAACTGTAAGTAAACATGTCAACTCTAGAAACATGGAAGAAATTATTAATTTAATTTGTTGTCTGATTTTAGCTTTTGCTTTAAAATATTATGGTATCAAAAAGTTTTTCATTTCGACAATATCATTGTCAATATGAATAATTTTGTGTTTCCTAAATTTCTAATCTAAAATATAGAACCCATAACAAAGAATATAAGAAGACCCTCTATTGAAGAAGAAAACTCATATTGAAGCTCTTCAATTAAAGATCAAATAACGAAACATTAATTAATTTAATTATGAATTCTATTATTTACTGCAGATATAAAGTTTTCTTTAAACTTTTGAAGTAAAAAGATAATAATTGTACATCCCTTCTCATAAGAGACGGGAACTAAAGGAGAAAAAATTGGTGGGAAAAATTCAAATCCCATTTGCAAATCCATTTTCGTTTCTGCCAACCACATCAAGGTCTTGAAAAAACATATACTCTTATACATTTGGATTTATATCTTAAATATATTTTTGGATCCTAACATGATAACCAGTACTACGTATAAACCGTATGGTTTAGTTTGGGATTGTTGTGGTTTGTCTTTTAAACACTTGTGTAACATTCTGATTGGTACTCATGATTCCTTGAATTCAAAGATGAAGTCCTGTAGTTTGTCCCTTAAATCACTTGTTTAACATCCCGATTGATACTCATGATTCCTTGAATTCAATGATGAATTCCTAGGCTCAAATCAAGAGAGATGTGCATAAATACACAATAGCTTAAAAGTAGATCGGGACATTGTAGATGGTATTAGAACAAGGTCTAACCGAATCCAACTTAAAGTGTGTAGATGGTCAAGAGCAAGATCCCCTAAGGGTTGGGGGGTGTTGAATTGTGACATCCCACATTGCTTGAGAAGATTTGTCAAATATCCTATGACCTCCTAAGCTGTCAAAAACTTTTGTTAAATATCCTGTGAGCTCCTAAACTATCAAAATGTGTTTTGAGTAAATAACGCTAGTGTAAAGCTCAAATGTAAATCCCACATTGCTTGAGAAGATTTGTCAAACATGCAACGAGCTCCTAAGTTTTCAAAAACTTATGTTAAATATCATATGAGCTCCTAAACTATCAAAACGTGTTTTGAGAAAAAGACGCTTCCAAGGGCACAAAGGGGATAATATCTTGACATGGACCAAAATGTTACAACTTGTCAGCCAACTTTAGAAATAATGAAATAACCCTAAACTCTAAACACAACTCTTGATAAAATCTATTAAGGGTGTCTTTGGTTTAGGGTTTGTTGTATTACTGGAAATGTTATATTAATGGAAATATATATTATCTTGAAGATTACTGGGAATGTTTAGAGAAATGTGTATGGTTGGTTAGAATAAATTGATGGGTATTTTATATTAATATGTTTGATTGAGATAAATAAATTGGTGGGTAAGTTAGAGCATCTCCAAATGACTCTTTATATGACCCAAACTCTTTATTAGAATGAGTTTATCCATAGAAACAATAGTCCAACAGACTCTTTATTCTTTAGATATAAATTAAAGAGTGAGTTTGACTCTCCACATTTAGAGAGTCAAATTTCACTCTTTATCTTAATTTTAAATAATAAATTGCAAGTTTCTGTTCATTTTATTTATGATTTATCTCTCCTATTAAGTTTCTTTCTTAAAAAAACATATTATCTCTCCTAAAATTTAAAGAGTCTATTGAATTTGAATAAAATTTTTGTTATTTATATTTAGAAATCAATGAAGATGCTCTTTAAAATAAAGAGCACAATTGGAGATGCTCTTATATTAATATATTTGATTAGGATGAATAAATTCTATATAAATTACTAAATTGGCCCACTTTTAAATATTAATATAATATTATTTTGAATCATTTTTTTTAACCCCCTACATTTCATGTTTAGCTAAAACACCCCAACAACCAAAAAAATTTAAAACTTAACAAAAACACCCTAGCCACCTTTCCAAGATAGTCGGTCACCACCAAAAGTTGCCTGAATGACGCAAGGTCGGCCATATGTGGTTGAACGTGCGTTGTTAAGGCCATTTCATAGATCCATGGTCAGAAACGGCCTTATCGATGCACGTATCATGACCACAAATCTGGCCTTTCTACGACCACATCTTTGGCTTTGAAAAGACCACATTTTTGGCCTTGAAACAACCATATATCTGACCATGAAAAGGCAACCGTTTCACGGCCAAAGATGTGGCCGTGAAATAGATTTGGCTGTGAAACAGCCTTATCGGCGTACGACCGGCTAGATCCAGCCAGTCATGCACCGTTACGGTGATTATCGATAGCAGCCAACGGTGGTGTCCGGTGATCAGCAGCCCTCTTGGGTGGCTGGGGGTGGTTGTGGTCTTGGGTAATATGGTTGAAGTTCAAGGGTAATTCTATCTTAAAAATCTTGAGTATAAGGCTCAAATTGTCCATAAATTTATTGTAAATTGTTTAGATAACAAAGGCATTATTGATCTAAAATTTTATTAATAAAGGATAAAATTGTAACAAAATTAAGATTACTACGTAATCTTAAAATACCTAAGAAAATGGAGGTAATCAGATTACCTCCTATATAACCAACAATAATTACTATTGATTTTAGAAGATTATCAAAATCTTATATTAATTGACAACCAAATGTGATAATAAAGTAATATAAGATGATATTAACTCAATAATAGGGGATAACCCCTAATCAAACACACCCTGAGGTGTTTGTTTCTACTTAATTTTAAAATTAATTTTCCTTTTGAAAAACAATGTAAACAAACAAAAATATGTATTCTTAAATAAGTTTTTTTTTTTAAATTATTGAAACATTTTAAAATTTAATTTTTTAAATAAAAAAAAAAATTGGCCAATAGAGTTTGTCGACTAGTTGCTGGTGTTGCCAGTGAATAGCTAATGGTGAGTGGACGACCACCACTAGTATTAGAGAAGACGCAGTCAAGAGAGAATCAGTCAAGAGAAGAAATAGTCAATGATCTTTGTTTTAAATTTGTATTTGATCTTCTTTTGAATTTGTATTTGGTTTTTGAATCTCTGATCTCTTATCTTTTACACTTGTATATAAACCTGTGATGTTGAATGAAAACACAAGCAGCCAGATTCCTTCTTCCTGCTCATTCTTGCTTCTATTATATGGTATAAGAGCATTCTTTCTTGCTGCTCAATTCTGCCAATTTTATTTTTTATTTTTTATTTTTATTTTTTTGATTTTCCAGTTTCAGCTTGTCATAACCAGTAAACACACCAGCAAAAATTAGCACTTGTCCACAACAACTTCAACCCAACCCACTTGTCCACAACAAGCCCCATCAACCCTTTAAAGGTCAATAATATTTTCTCTTCTTTTTGACTACTTGATCCTCATAAAGTTTGCTTGTTTTTCTTATCTATATATTTTTTTTCTCTTTGTTTGTTTTATGTTCTCGTTACTGTGTTCAATGATCTTGGCTTTTTAGCTTCATTGTTTCTTCATCTCTATTTTTGTTCTTTCAAGGTTGTATATCTATCATTGTCAACAGTAAGGCTCATCAACCCTTTAAAGCTCATTATTATTATTATTATTATTATTATTTTTATTGTTGCTATTGTCACCTCTCCAGCCACTACCAAAATGGCCACAAACACCAATGACCCCAACAACACGTTAATCACCATCAATATCTCTGCCCAAGCACCACTCAAACTCACCGGCACCAACAACTACATTCCATGGGCACTCTAGTTTCACACCCTTTTTAATCAGATATGATCTCCTTGGTTATATCGATGGATCGAAACCATGTCCAGCCCCTACTATCACTACAAATGACACCACTATACCGAACCTAGCTCATACAATATGGATTTGACAAGATCAATTGATTCTCAGCAAATCCTGCAAGTCGAAACAACATGGGTTGGCATCCTCCAACCAACTCAGGCACCAAAAAATTCAATTGATGTCCACCACAGAATCTTGGAAATAGTAGTACGGGTTGGCGCTTATCGCCTTCAAACAACAATCGCTCCCCCGCATCTCCCTATGCCAGGCCAAACCCCTTACGAAGCGATCGACCTCCTTCACGCCCTTATCATGGCTATTGCCAAATTTGTGGAACATAGGGACATACGGTTAGGAAATGTCCCTCCTTTCGCCTTATACCAACTTAGCCCTCCACCAATCCATCTGCAACAACAAACTCTCTAACCCCATGGCAGCCCCGGGCTCACTTCGTTGCAAACACTGCTTCTCACACTCCACAGTGGTTACTTGATAGTGGGGGTTTCTCATCATGTCACTACTAATCTAAACAATTTATCTCTTCATGCACCTTACATCATTTCCAATGACATTATGATTGGTGATGGTTCGGGTCTTCCTATTACCCATACTAGTTCTACATCACTTACTACTTCTTCTACTACATTTCATTTAGATAATGTCCTATATGTACCTAGCATGAAAAAAAATCTCATATCTATTTCAAACCTTTGCACATCTAATAATGTCTCTGTG